CTCTGGGTCACAATATGATCAGATATCCTGCAACAGGTAGCCTTGAGTTGGATCACAAATTGCAACTCCCAAGTTCAATAATGTAAGGACAGAAGACAGCCAAGAAGAGAACTTTCATAGGACATGGAGTCTGTACCTTGAACTTGGACTCCCAGCCTCCAGCTTATAAGAAGTCAATGTCTGTTACTGAAGATACTGAATCTAGTACCTTATATAGCAGTCAAACAGATAAATACAGTTACCATATGCTTTATAGAGTGGCAGAGAGAGAAAGTACACATATTTATCCCCACTGAGAAGGCTTGGAAATAGTCATATTTTCATAACAAATAGCATAAACTTTGGTTTCTGAATACAGATTGAGCATCTCCTATCCAAAAGACTTGGGGTTTTTTCAGAGGTTTTAATGTTTGCATATAGCAATCATGAGACATGTTGGGGATGGTCTCAAGTCTAAACATGAAATTCGTTTGTTTTTGATACCTGTTGCATTATCCATAGATCCCAAGTACATTTGTAATGTGCCTGCATTTTGACTGTAAGGTCAAGTGTGGAGTTATCTGTGTATGGTAGCATGCTGATACTCAGTTTCGATGTTTTGAAATAGGCTAGATTTAGAGATTTTTTATTAGTAATGCTCAACCCTGTACTGTTCCACACTGAAGGGAAACAGAGTCATCCAAATAACTCTCTTCTCTTCTTTTGCATCTGTCTTTTTCTTTTCCTTTGCCTATCCTGAAATGCTATTGTTAGGTGCTGTGATGGTTGTGCTGACTGTGAGCATGACCAGATCTGGCACTGCCTGGCTGGCAGGGCTCTGGGCACAGCTGTGGGGGAGTGTGCAGCCTCCAGCATGACTGTGAGCATCTGTGTCGATCCAGTTCCATTGAGGAGGAAAGACACATAAAAAGCAGGTAGCTCCATTTTATGAGCTGGAGTCCTGAACTTTGTGAAAAGAAAAAAGCTGGTGGAGCACAACATTGCTCTTCCTCTTGGCGGTGAGTGTGAAGTGACCAGCTGCCTCACACTCCTTCCCCAACATGATGGGCTCCAAACCTCACACTGTGAGCCAAGATAAACGCTTTCTCCCTCAAGTTGCTGTGGTCAGAGTGTTTTATCACTCTAAAAAAAATGACTAAGACAAGTGCATTCACATTTAGGCTTGAGCTGCTCTTAGCAAATTTATCCCTTTATTTTAAGTATCAGTCAGCTGTGTAAGCCATAATATTACAGTCAGGGTGGCTCAGCAATAGGAGCTTCTTTCTCGGGATTCTAGAGGCTGGTAGTCCAAAATCAAGGGCCAATATGGTTGATTTCTGGTGCAATCTCTCTCCCTGTCTCAAATAACCACTTTTTGCTGGGCACTCACCAGGTCTTTCCTCTGTGCATGAGGGCAAAACAAGCTTTCTTCTGTTGTGGAATATTACTTTAATTGTGTAAAGGTGTGTTACATTTGCTTCTGCTGCATTTGTTTAGCAATTTAAGAATTGTTACATTTGTTAATCCTGTATTTGCTTAATTATGAAAGTATTTGTGGCATTTGGAACACTTTTAAGGCTGCTAAGATGATCCAGCCTCAAGGATTACTCCAGCAAAGTCTTAACAATTATCTTGATTTTTTTCAAAGTTCCCTCAAAGATTCCAGCACCGCCAGACAATGGAAAGCAGGAAAAAAAACAATGCTCATATTTCCAAAAGATGGATTGTGGATGTTTATTATCATTTGCAGGGGTTGATTACAAATTGTTATTGATCATAGTAAAAAAAACTAAATAAAAGAGCCAGGTGGTGGCAGCACACACCTTTAATCCCAGCTCTTAGGAGGCAGATACAGGCAGATCTCCATGAGTTCAAGGCCAGCCTGGTCTACGTAGCTAGTTCCTGGACAACTAGGACTATTACACTGAGAAACCCTGTCTTGAGAAACAAAAACAAAATAAATAAATAAACAAAAGACTTAAAAACTCAAAGTTCTCTTTCTAAAGGAAAACAGGGAATGTGATGTAAAAATAATAGAGGAAAGGTAGAATAATGAATTTACTTTAATCTAAAAAAAACAACTATTAATCTCAAAATATTTTACACTGGTATGGATTTTGGTCTATTGATACAAATTTAAAGTTAATTTTGTTATACGGTATGTATGCTTAACTCTTTTTGGGTATTTTTATGTAGTTCATTTGAAAATGTAATGCATAATTAAGAAATACAGATTAATAGTCATATATAATAGTCAAACTTAATAGTCATGCAAAGTATGCTTTCAAAGTAATACACAGATATATTTAGATATATAGATTGCCTTCAAACACTTCAAAGGCCTACAGAATATGTCATTTAACATGTTAAATAGCTTAAGGCTTTTCATGACAGCAACACATGTCTGCTCCTGACAATACCAATTTACTTCAAAAGAGGATGATGGACATCGAAGAAACTCCATATGGAGTTTGCTTGCTTTCTTTATGGCAAAAGCCAACTATTTGGGCAAAGAAACTGCACTGGGCTCAATTGCTGACAGTATACTGTCCAAACTGGATCATCAGAATGCGAAAGAAAGAAATGCCAAACTTTGCCAAGACAAGATAGGACAGTCCTTCAAAACTACCTGATTCTCAAAAATGTCTGTCAGATATACTAGGCCTGCCTGTAGGCCAAAGTTGGATGCTCAACATTACAGAAGAACTTTGGGTGACTGTCCAGGCAGTCAGCTGTCCTATTGTTGGATAGCATTACATCCTTCTGGGGTCTTTGATGAAGTTAGAGACTAAATAATTAGACTTAAAGATTTTCTTAGTTATGATAAAAAGATAAATTAAATATAGACTCACAAAGATATATAGTGTTTTCTCTAAATTTGCCAAATACAAATGGACTGAATTTTATGAATGTAATACTTACTTGATAATAATTTTTGCTATGCTATGTTATGTTATGCTATGTTAAAGTTAAAACTTTCCTTTTTATTTAGACAAAAAGGGGAAAATGTGAAATATTTGTTTACATTGTGTGAATATATGTCACTGTGATTGGTTTAATAAAGAAGCTAACTGACCAATAACTGGGCAGGTAGAGTTTGGCAGGAGAACCAACTAAGGATGCTGGAAAGAAGGGCTAAGTCTAGGAGTCATTAATAGATTCAGGGAGAAACAGGACGGGCATGTCATACTGAGAAAAGGTACCAAGCCACATGGGAAAGTGTAGATAAGAAATATGGGTGAATTTAAAATGTAAGAGTTAGCTAGTAACAAGTCTGAGCTATTGGCCGAGCATTTATAATTAATATTAAGCCTCAGTGTGGTTATTTGTAAAGTGACTGGTGGGACAGAGCTGAATGGCAGTCTAGGTAAAACCTTCCACCTACAGGTGTGATAATTCACACCTGTGATCCCAGGACTCAAAAGACTAAAGCTGGAGTGTCAGGAGTTCAGAGCTAGCCTGGGCTACACAGTATAACTCTGTCTTCAATCAATACATATGTAAAGTAAGATAAGTAAAAAAAATCAAAAGTGTTTCTCATAAATCATGTCAACTCAATGTTACTTTTCTATTCAGTATAACAAATCCTGAATTCCAATTGGAATGCTCAGTCTTTTTATTTAATAAAATTATTGATATGATTCTCTTTAATTCTCTTATCATTCCTTTTATGTCTGTTCCCTGTTCTTCATTCTTGGGTCCCTCCTTTCCTGACTTAAATTAACTCAGTGCTCCTGAGTGTTATAGTTCCTCAACTCACTTTTAATTACACTTCTTTGTCCCTTTAGTAATTGTGCCACACAAGTTTCAGAATGCATCCTTAACTTACCATGGCATCTCTTGAGACAATATGCTGCTCACAGAGACTCCGAAGTTCTTCAAATAGTATTTAAATAACCCCTATTCTTCAATGTTCCGTTTAGAGTCTTTCAACTGCCATGGCACAAAATATACATGCAGCTATCTCGATTTTCACTTTTAGTACAGTATCCAATAAGTTATGCAAAACACTATATTTTTAATAAGGTAAGTTTTGTTAGATGAGTTCCAGCTATGCTATTACTAAAGTAAGTGTTCTGACTGCATTTAAGGTAGACAAAACTGTGATGTTCGGTAGGTAAGTTATGTTAAATGTATATATTTACATTTATCTATTTGTTGTTTGGTGTGTGTGAGAGAGTGGTGTGTGTGAGAGAGTGGTGTGTGTGTGTGTGTGTGTGTGTGTGTGAGAGAGAGAGAGAGAGAGAGAGAGAGAGAGAGAGATCAAATGCACGTGGTCAGAACTGGATACAGGTGCCTTTATCCATTGGGCCATCTCTCTGTTCTTCAAATGTATTTTGGTTAAATAATATTTTCAGTTTGTGATGGATGTGTTAGGACATAATCCCACTGGCAATCTAGAAGCGTCTGAAACCTTCATTTCCTCAGGTCTCGTCTTGTGTATTATGCAGTATTTCTACATAAATTATAACCAACAAACTACAATCCTACTTTTGCAATTAAAAGTTAATTAACTTGTTTTTTAAGTCAAACAGTGGTGGTTCCCACCTTTAATCCCATCCCTTGGGAGGCAGAGGCAAATGGATCTCTGAATCTAAGGCCAGCCTACTCTACAGAGTTAGTTCCAGGGCAACTAGTGTCACACAGAGAAACACTGTCTTAAAAAAAATCATGGGAAAGCAAATGTCATTAACTTTTAACCATTTAAGAAAATAAAGGAATTAGCATGCAGTTCACCTCTGTGTTCACTCCCTCCTGTGCCTCTGGACTTTAGCTTAGTTGCATCTCCCTTCAGCTGGTAAAACTTTCTTTCTAGGGGTTTGAGTATGCTATGAAAACTTGTGTTTATTTAAGTGAATGCACTTTATTTATCTTTAGTTCTGAAAATCACCTTCAATGTGCATTTAACCCAGGGTTGGTGTCTTAGTTAGGGTTTCTTTATTTGTTGTTTATTTTTATTGAAAATTTCCGCCTCCCCCCCTCCTTTCATTTCCCTCCCCCTCCCCCCACTCTCCCTCCCCTTCCCTTGCCAGTCCAAAGAGCAGTCAGGGTTCCCTGCCCAGTGGAAAGTCCAAGGTCCTCCCCCCTCCATCCAGGTCTAGGAAGGTGAACATCCAAACAGACTAGGTTCCCACAAAGCCAGTACGTGCAGTAGAATCAAAACCCAGTGCCACTGTCCTTGGCTTCTCAGTCAGACCTCATTATCAGCCACATTCAGAGAGTCCAGTTTGATCACATTCTCCATCAGTCCCAGTCCAGCTGGACTTGGTGAGCTCCCATTAGATCAGCCCCACCGTCTCAGTGAGGGGGCACACTCCTCGTGGTCCTGACTTCCTTGCTCATGTTCTCCTTCCTTCTGCTCCTCATTTGAACATTGGGAGCTCAGTCCAGTGTTCCAATGTGGGTCTCTGTCTCTATCTCCATCCATCACCAGATGAAGGTTCTATAGTGATATACAAGATATTCATCTGAGTGGCTATAGGATAGGGCCAGTTCAGGCTAGTTAGGGTTTCTATTGCTGTGAAGAGACACCAGGAACACGGCAACTCTTATAAAAGAAAACAATTTAACTGAAGTGACTCTCTTACAGTTTCAGAGGTTCAGTCCATTGTCATCATGGCAGGGAGTGAGGTAGCATGCGGGCAGACATGGTTCTGGAGAGGTAGCTGAGAGTTATACATCTTGCAGGCAACAAGAAGTTGACTGAGGCACTGGGCAGTATCCTGAGCATAGGAAACCTCAAATCCCACAATGACAGGCTTCCTCCAACAAGGACATATTCACTCCAACAAAGCCACACCTCCTAATAGTGCCACTCCCTATAAGATTATGGGAGCCAATTGCATTCAAAGTACCTCAGTTGCTAATATGTTTCCATCATTAGAAATGTCTTCTGGGACTGGAGAAATAGCTCAGTTGGTACAATACTTGCCAGGCAACTATGATTGCCTATACTTGGATCCTCAGCACCTATATAAAAAGCTAGACATGACTGTGTTCCTGCAATTCCAAGACCAGGGAGATGGAGGCAGGGGTGGGGGTGGGGGGTCCTGTCAGTCAGTGTCGACAAATCAGTGATCACCAACCTCAGTAACACACCTGGTCTCAAGATAGTGATTAAGGAAAAGATCCAGCATTGACCTCTGACCTCCCCACAAATTCACACATACGTGACCACAGACAGACAAGACACACACACATACACATGTGCATGCATATCTTTAACTATCTTCTCAACTTTTTTCTGTTGAAATGACAAATGTAACATTGTGGCTTTTATACAAACTAATTAAAACTATCATTTCATTAATTAATAATTCTTTTTGTATAATAATTATATAGAATAATTTCTCCAAAATTTTTATAGTAAGAAGTCTCCTGAACGCTCAATCATACCACAAGGGCATGTGCTCAGCTATGTTCACTGCAACATTGTTTGTCATAGCCAGAACCTGGAAACAACCTAAATGCCTGTTGATCAAAGAATGGATAAGGAAAATGTGATACATTTACATAATGGAGTACTACATAGCAGTAAAAAATAATGACATCTCAAAATTTGCAGGCTAATGGATGAATCTAGAAAACATCATATTGAGTGAGGTAACCCAGACCCAGAAAGACAATTATCATATGTACTCACTCATAAATGGCTCCTAGACATAAAGCAAAGAAAAAACAGCCTACAATTTGTAATCCTAGAGAACCTAGACAACAAAGAAGACCCTAAGAGAGACATACATGAATCGAATCTACATGGGAAGTAGAAAAAGACAAAATGTCCTGAGTAAATTGGAAGCATTGGGGTCATTGGGGGAGGGTTGAAGGGGAGGGGAGAGGAAAGAAGGGGAGTGGGAAAAATGTAGAGCTCAATAAAAACAATAAATAAAAATAAATTTTTTTAAAAATCTCCTGAATTTCATTTTTCCTTTTGTATAAAATGTGTGTGTGCATTTGACTTTTTAAAATAATGTTTTCTCATAATTTTAGTTGTTAGGAGTTTGTCTTTCAAGCAGCTGGCTGTGATTTTCTCTGATTTGTCCTGATTAGGACTCACAACCCCTCTGTAACTGTGGGCTACTGTTGCTAATCAACTTTAGAAACTGATCTTTAAATCCTTATTTGCTAATTCCCATCTCTGACTTGTTTACACTGATTTGTTTCTCCTAAATATAGGTTATATTTTCTCATATTTTCATATTATAGTACATTTTTAATTTTAGAAACAACTTCTAATTCTTGAGCAAGTTACAAATGAAGTAAATCTTTTTTCTTTAAATAATAATAGTTATTATTGATGTTTTATTATTTTATGCAGCCTGGACTGGCCTGGAGCCCCTACACAGTCAGTCAGTCAGTTGGGATCCTCCTGCCTCAGCTTTAAGAGAACTGGGGTTACAGTATACATCACTCCTGGCTCTCTCTAAATTATTCCAGAGTAAATTTCTCACAAGGGGCTCTTTGCCCACCAAAGACTTCTGTGTATAGTGTATACTGTCTGTAACAAATATGTTCTCCTACTTAACCAAGTGTGTTTCTGTGTTACTGCCATCTTTCCTGCAGATACATTTCAGTTCCTTTTGACAAGGTCTCTTATTATAAAATGTTACAGTCTGGAAACTCACCTGGGTCTTGGGCATCGTGTCTCATGTCTCTCGTTCAGTCTGTAGCAATTACAGTCTTTCCTTACTTTTCATGAAATTGGCTCTTTTAAAAATTATAGATCAGGGACTGGAGAGATGGCTCAGCAGTTAAGAGTACTTGCTTCTCTTCCAGAGGTCCGGAGTTTGGGTCCCAGAACCTACATTGGGCAGCTCACTACTGCCTGTGATTCCAGCACCAAGGGATCCAACACCTTCTTCTGGCCTCCATGGGGACTATACTTATATATGTACATACTTATGCCTACATAGAGACACAAAGAAACATATAATTTAAAGTAAATTTAAAATTAAATCCAAAAAGTCATAGTCTAGAGAGACTTACAGATACACTCTATTCAAAGACAGATAATTACTATTTTAACATAAGAAGACTTCCTAATTATTTTTACAAAGTATGTATATGATTAATGTTAAATCCTGGGAAGAAATATACAACACACACACTTTTCTGTCAGTCCCAACTGTGTGTGTATGTGACAAAACTGCAATGGAAATTTAGAAAACGTGATAAACATACTCAAAATAAAACACTAGTGAATTCCAGGACTGCCAAAGCTATGTGGAGAGACCGTATGTCAAAAAGGAAAAAAAAATACAGCACCATTCATGCTAGGGGTCAGCAGTAAAGCACATGACCAATCAACCCTTCTATTAAAAAGATTTATAACACCACTATAAGTGGTGGCTTATGCCTTTAATCCCAGCACTTGGGAGGCAGAGGCAGGTGGATCTCTATGAGTTTGGGGGCAGTCTGGTCTACAGAGGGAGTTCCAGGACTGGTTCCATATCTACTGGGAAAATCTATCTCAGAAAACAAGCAAAAAAATTACAACTATAAATGCTAGAGGAAAAAAATTCAAGAACTTCATAAGCATAAATGAATCGTAACTTCTGGTGACCCCCAAGGCGAAGATGCAGACAGAGGCAGGCACAGCATGCGATGAGTTTCAAGTCTGGGGACTTCTCTCTGGGAGTATTAGCAACGGTCATGGTGGCACCAAACAGCAAGCCCTGACAGAGAAGAACGTCATAGTTCTCATTGAAAGAAATGAAGGAGACAAAAGACTCTAGAAATGCCATACTGAGGAAGACAGTAGAGAAAGGAGAGAAGGGAGGAAGGAAGGAGGAAAAGAAAGAAGGAAGGAAGAAAAGAAGGAAGGAAGGAAGGAAGGGAGGGAGGGAGGGAGGGAGGGAGGAAGGAAGGAAGGAAGGAAGGAAGGAAGGAAGGAAGGAAGGAAGGAAGGAAGGAAGGAAGGAAGAGAGAGAGAGTCAGAACCTGGATGCATGCTCTGCCCCGGCTCTGGCTTCCTAGAAACAAAGTAGAGTAGAACAATGTGAGCTGAGATTGCAAATGCCACTCCCACTGGCAGGCAGACGAGGAGACAGGACTTTTCCAAGCTAGTGACTTGATAGAACAAGCCATCACCACCAATTAGAGCAATACAGCAAAATCCAGAACCTCCGAAATATAGCATGCAAATGCCTGAGATATAATTCAAAATTAACTGATGTTAGAAAAATCAGGAAAAAATGTAATCTGTTCTCTAGAGAGCTCAGTCCTGGGAAGAAACAGATGTCAGAAACATCAAACAGACACCCCAGAGCAGCCATTACCATGACACTCAGTTGGGTCAGTAGAAACCTGTTCAAAATAAATGACGATATCAAATCAATGAGAGAAATAAAAATTAAAATTAACCAAAAAAGAAATTCAGTTTGAAATGTTTGTTATCTGAAACTTAAAAGTTCTCTGATTGGTTTTATTCCAGACGTGACAGAGGAAAGAACAGCAATGAAGTAAACAAAGCAGAAGAAGGAAGAGGGGGGAGGAAGCATAGGCATGCGTAATTTCAGTCGTAAGTTCCAGATGGAGAGGAGACAGATACTGGACAAAAAAAAAAAAAAAAAAAAAAAAACTGACAAAGGGTATCTGAAAATGCCCTAAATCTGTTGTCTTGAACATGCAGATTCAATTTCAGGTCTATGAGCCCAAGTGGGCCTTGGATCACAGTGAACTAAAGCCGGGTGCTAGCTGGGCTGTACTTCCAGGAGACTTCCCTGAGAGGACTCTCACTTTCTCCTTCTCAGCTCCTAGGTACTGTGTTTCTTGACTCATGGCTATCCTCCATCTTCAAAGCCAGCCGTTGCCTGTCTTCAACCTCTGTTTCAAACATCATGTCTCTGACTCTGTCTTCTCTGCCTCCTTCAGGAATGCTAGAACCACATGGAGCCTTCCTCTTGGCAGGATAAGGAACACTGCTGAGTCCCTTTGGACTTTGTCCATGTAGAGGATGCATGAGTCCATGTACGCAGAGTCCCCTTGGCTTTGTCATGTAATTCATGTGAAGTTCCCAAAGATCAGGACATGGGCACCTTTAGAGGTGGACAGTTTGCCATTTACCACACTTACTAAATACAAAACAGATAGCCAGGTAAACAAGATGACCCACCCCTACAGACTTCAGTTGGCATCTTTACCTAGTTATCTGGTGTTTGTCACATCCATTGCTGTGGTAAAACACATTGACAAAAAAGTGACTTAGGGGAGTGTCCTAGTTAGGGTTTCTACTGCGGTGAAGAGACACCATGACCATGCAACTCCTACAAATGAAAGCATTTGATTGGGGTGGCTCACTTACAGTTCAGAGGTTCAGTCCATTATCATCGTGGTGGGACATGGCACTGTGCAGGCAGAAACGGTGCTCGAGAAGTAGCTGAGAGTCCTATCTCTTTCAGGCAACCGGAAGTGATCTGGGACATTGGTTATGGCTTTAGCATATATGAGACCTCAAAGCCCACCCCCAAAAAGACACACTTCCTCCAACGAGGCCATGCCCACTCCAACAAAGCCACACCTCCTTACAGTGCCACTCCCTTTGGAGCTATTTTCTTACAAATCACCACAGGGCAAAGGGGTTTATTCATCTTATAATTCCAGGTTACAATCCATCCCTGCAGGGAAGTCAATGCAGGTTCTCGAGCTGTTAGTCACATCAGATCTGTAGTCAAGAATATACTGAAAAATAAATAAATAAATAAAGAAATAAAGAAATAAAGAAAGAAAGAAATAAAAAGAATATGCTGAAATAAATTCATGCAGGTCTACTTGCTAACTTGTTTACTCTCAACTAGCTTTCTCCTCAATTATAATGTTCAGGGTCCCCTGCGTAGTGAAGGGTGCCACCCATTATGGACTGAATATTTCTGAATCAATTAACAGTCAAGACAACCACCTACAGACATGCCCACAAGTCAATGCGATCTTGATAATTTCTCATTAAGACTCTCCCCAGATGAGTCTAGATTGGGTCCATTTGGCATCTAAAACTAAGCAGCACATCAGATAAAATCCCTGCTCGAATGGCTATTGAACAAAGTGGCTCCAATAGCAGAAATGGGGGGATTTCCCTTCAGAGAGCGTGATCCTGCTTCACCCTCACTGAGTACTCAGGATCAGAGACCAGTTCAGCACGCTCATTTCCGTAGCTCCACTGTTAAATACCTCCCATCACAGACAAGAAAGCAGTGTGCCCTTGCTGGACCAGACCCTGCCAGAGCTGTGGACTTGTCTGTCTGCTGTAGTTCAGCCACCAGCAGCAGCATCTGTGAACTTTCTGAACTCTTCACTTGCGCCTTCCTTAGCCCTCTAGACTGGTCCAGGAAAGCTGATGGACATAAATGGATAAGGAGATGGCTGGTTCATTTCCACAGGGCACACTGGTCTTAGCCCAGATCTCACCACCACAAGGCAGGTAAAGTGAGAGAACAGTGAATTGACCTGTTGAAGATATCACTACAGCTCTAATCCGTGCTGTGGAATAATCGTTTTGTACACTATAAAGATTTGCCACTCAAATTAGTTTAAATAAAACTCTTGACTGGCCAATAGCCAGGCAGGAAGTATAGATGGGACAACAAAACTAAGAATACTGGGGTGAAGAAAGGCAAAGTCAGAGAAGACGGCAGAAGACACAGAGGAAACAGGACGTGTAGAAAATGAAGTACCAAATCATGAGCCACATGGCAGAAGGTAGATAAGAAATATGGGTTAGTAGAATAGAATACTGAACTAGGAACAAGCCTGAGCTATCAGCTGAGCATTTACAATTAATATGAAGTTTCTGAGTGGCCATTTGGGAGCATTAGCAGGACAGAAAAACTCCTCCCACAAATATGAAGTCTGTACCTTCTGAGAGTGGGGTGCCATTTGCAGGACATAACATTTGCTCAGGACTGGAGATTGACCTATGGTGCTGTTTTCCTTACAGTCAAAAATAAGTGAGCCCAGTAACAGAGGGATATAAATGGCTAAGATGTTTCCCAGTAAAACCTCAATGGTTCTTCAAACCTTGGTCTGCATTCCTCTGACTCAGCTGATGGGCAAAGAACTCTGTAGTATGAATAATAAAAACCCAGAGATAGATACTGGGTTCAAACTGAAGATCAGAAAAGCAAAGTGCCAACCACTAGAGAAGTGCCATCCTCTACCAAATCTTAAGATTAAAAAGGCGAGATCCTGTCTCCACAAAACCTCCGACTCCACATTCCAATGACTTCCTGTCTCTTCCCCTTTATATTTCTCTCAGCAAAGTCATATTGCTCCTTTCTCCTTCTCCTTACTCCTGGGATTAAAAGTGTGTTACACCCAAACACTGCAGTTAAAGATATGAAACACCACCACCTGAACCTGTTTCTAGATCAATCTTGTGTAGTACAGAGATCCATCTGCCTCTGTCTCCTGAGTCCTAGAATTAAAGGTGTGTGCCACCACTCCTGGCCTGTATGACTGACTAATATGGCTGCTTTGCCCTCTGATGTTCAGGCAAGCCTTATTTATTAAGACATAAATAAGATATTTCCCCTTTTTGTCTAAAATTAAGGAAGGCTATAATATGAGAAAAACTATATACAATAAGTACAATAACTATATATAATATATACAGGCAACAAATACATCAACAATGTCTTGTCTGTTTTCATTTGACAAATTCAGAGAAAATATTTTATTACCTATCCTATCTTGGTGAGTCCAAAATCTTGTACCTAGTTTACTTTCTATCATAACTTGCTTCCTGCATCTGGTAAGCAAGGAAAACTATAACTATCTAGTCTTAAACTCCTTCAGAAACCCAAAAAGGAAATAATATTAATTGAATAAGCAGGTAATGCAAGCAACTGACTTCCAAAAACTGTGAGAAATGGTAGAAACAGCCTGGACAGTCACCCAAAGTTCTTCTGCAAAATTGGGGCATCCATCTTTGGCTTACAGGTCTAGCATATCTGACAGACTTTTCTGTGAAGCAGGATTTCTGAAGGGCTGTCTCACCTTGTCTTGACAATGTTTGGCAGTCACTTTCTTTTGTGTCCTGTTTGTCCAGTTTGGACAGCATACTGTCAGCAGTCGAGGCAAGGGCATTTTCTTAGCCAGTGGATTACATTTGCCACAAAGAAAGTAAACTCCAAGTGGAGTTTCTTCGGTGCCCATCATCTTTTTTTTTTTTTTCATGCAAGTTTAGGATTTAATGTTGGATCTCAGTCATTGGCCAAGGCTTGGGCATGCCTTTAATGGGTCTGGAATTGTCTTTTGGGTTTCTTTAAATGCTTTGTTTGGGGGATAAAATAACCAAGGATGTCCAATTAGCAAACCAACCACCAGTCACTTTTGCCATAAACGACCGTAAGAGGCACTCTGATACAGTGCGGACTGGGCTTTTCATTAGGTTTTACTGTGTTCTTAAAGTCAGAGTAATGGAGCTTAAAGATAATGTATGTGTTGCCTTTGAGAATGGAGCACATCCCCCTCAGTCTTAGGAAAGAGAAAGAATGCATTTCCATATGCCCATCATCTTCTTTAAAGTAGATTGATGTTACCAGAAGCAGATTGTTTCATTGTCATAAAAAAGAGCCTATGTTATTAAACATCTTAAATGTTATATTCTGTACATATCTGAAGTACCTGAAGATGACCTAGCTATCTAAACTATATCTTTGTTTGACCTTGAAAACATACCTAATATGTCTACAAATTTGATAGTAATAGGTGATTAACTACTAACCTGCAATGCCTTATTATTCTAAACAGTTGGCAATAATAATTGTCAAGAACTAGAAATTTGCATTACATAATTAAATAAATTGGATAGGTACAATACTTTGAACAAGAGTAGAAATGTATGTATAATATGTTCTAACAAAATTAATCTTAAATTTGTATCAATATACAAAATGTATATACAATATACAAAAGTCCAATCCAATATAAAATATTTTAAATTAGTGTTGCTTTTTAAAAAGTAGATTAAATAATTGACCTTTTTATCTTATCATATCTATATCCTTCCTTTTATCTTTTCAGAGTCAATTTAATAATCCACCCTTTCATCATATCATATTTATATTCCCTTTTTTTCTTTTCAAAAAAAAGAACTCTGAATCTAATCTCCTTTGTTCAACTTTTCTCCTGGCTGTAACCAATAACAAATTATAACCAACACCCCCCAAACAATGATAAATATTCATGATCCGTTGAATGAGCAAAAATCACCCATCCCACCTCTTGGGAATGTGGGCATCATTTTCTTAAATTTTCTTCCTGCTGTCTGGGGGTGATGGTATCTTTAGGAGATCCTGAAAAGAAAAATTTGGACTAATTTTCAAGTCCTGGGAGAATTATCTGTATCACTGTTGTCAAGTCTAAGTGTAATGGGAAAGTGCAGGGTTTGTCTCAAGTCCTGGCCAGAGCAGTCTATTAGGCTGGGTTGCCTCAGCAAACCACCTTGAAATTGTTCTGAACAGTGTGTAGTCCAAAAGTTGATCTTTAGGTAGTGTTTTCAGCTTTGTGATGTTATCATAGTCCTGGAGGAATCATCATTGTGGGACCCCATCCTCCTTTTGGAGGCTACAAAGGTCACTGCTTGGAGTGCTCATGGTTCAAGGCAGAAAACTGATAGAGACTCAAACCCAAAATCATGTATAGGAAGGCAGATGAAACTTTTTTCTAGAATTAGTAAGTACTCTATATGACCATTAATATCATGACAAAAGGTTAATATATATTATATATAATATAAAATGTAAATTATTATATTACATATATAATATATTATTATATTACATAAGATTTATATGTACATGTTAATCATATAAATTTTATACCTTAAGAAAACTGTTAAAGAGTCAATATAAAACTGAAGGATTATGAGATTAGTAGCAATAAAATAGTCCTTAAATTTTTGTTTTTCTTCTGTCCCATATCAGGTGACTCTTCTGACATGAGACAGAGATTTTGGATTTCACTTTAATACACATGCTTGGGTTTAGTGAAGAAGAAAGTCACACTCCAGCTCCAAAGCCAGCTTTAGTCTTTAATTGGACTGAGACTACAAAAAAACCATTTGCATTATGTGTCTGAAGAAAAGAGCAGAAACAAACATTTGGGAAGATCTATGAAATTTTATCCTGATGGAAATGTGATATAGCGATAGGCCAATTTACTCTTTTCCTTGAGACACATTTTCTGGTCATTTGTGCTTTTTCTTCAGATGTCTCATTTGTCCAGTTCAGATTCCTTAGCTGAATGTCTTCATTCACCTTAAAAGACGGAAACAAAACACTTCCCCAAACCTAATTTGGGGGAAGATTCTCTTTTTGGCAAGTTATATCTGACCAAGTGAAAAGCATTTGTGATTTTTATAGGTTAGTTTAGATGAAATGGCCATGTTGTTTGATGAACTATTATCTCTTCTAAAGGTGTTTCTTGCTCAAATTGAATCTTTAGCAATTTTGATGGTAACCATAGCTTTTCTTCTCCTATGGAAGCGAAAGCAATGTCCCTTCCCCAATGTAACACACGTCCTGGTTCCCATTCTGAGGTCAGTGCATCTTTAAAGTACATCGGCTGATTTTATTCCACATTTTTTTTCTACTATCCAATGTCTCTCCGCAGTTGTTGTTCCTTTCTCATTAGCACTTAGGAAGTTCAGGGTTAATAAAGCATTATGCAGTCTATATCTGAAGGTATTTTTCATCAATTTCTGTTTATTTAAAAAAATCCTTTAGAGTTCAATTTGCTCTTTCTGTAACTGCTGGCCTGTAGGATTGTGTGGCATACCTGTAATATGCTTTATATGCTAATAAACAAAAAGCTGTTTAATTTTCTTAGAGACATATGCTGGAGTATTGTCTGCCTTTATCTGTACAGATATACCCATGATGGCAATAACTTATAGCAAATGTGTGATTATCAAATCAGCCTTTTCTGAACTCAAAGCAGTTGCCCACTGAAAATCTGAATAGGTATCAATGATGTTGAGTACATATTTTAGTTTTACAAATTATACAAAATGGAACACATCCATCTGCCAGATTTTATTTCTTTGGGCACCCTTTGTGCTACTTCCTGCAGGTATTAAATTTTGGTTGTATAAAGAACAGGTAGGACAGTTCATCATAACTTTTTTAGTTTGCTGTCATGTGATGGAAAAGTCTTTTTAAAAACCTTCGCTATTGACATGATTTTTTTTCCATGAAATTATGAGGCTTTCAACACATTTCCAATCAATAATTGATGGATTTCTGCATTACCTTGTGCTAGACAACCTGGCGGACCTGTATGAGATCAGATGTGTGCTATGTGTATGGGATTATTCCTGATTATATCATGTAACTGAATAAATAATAAATTTAATTCTGTATCATCTGATATAAATTCAGTGGTTTCAACATGTAAAACAACTCTTTCTGCATATTGCAAATTGATACCTGTATTGAGAGTTTCTTTAAAATCCCTTAATGCCATGAGAATAGCATATAACTCTGACTTTTTAGACAGAATCATAAGGGCTTTGATCCATTTTACTTACATTTTCTGATTTATAACCTGCCTTTCCTGATTTATTTGCATCAGTATAGAATGTAGGGTTCCAGTTATTGTGATATGCCTTGTCATGGTTTTCCCCATTCTTTAATGTGGGGGAGGGGGGGTTAAACAATTCCCTCCCTTTAAGAATTCCCAATTGTCCTACCAAATCGGCTGACAATGTTGGTGAAGATGTGAGGCTTATTGCTGTTGCAAAGAACAATAAAAGTCTGACTGGATTTGAAGGCAGCTACCTAGTTTTGCAGCAGCCCAAGAAAGGGGTTCAGGGAGAGCCCTCCAGGAAAGAAGAAAGCTTTCTTCTAGCTGATAGAGCAGTGACCCCAGCCACATGCAGCTGTGGCCTATGCTGGTAGCTGTAAAGCCACAGGTAAATGACTTCCTCGTGAATTCATACCCCAAATGTTGGGTGCCAAATGTAGCATGAATAATAAAAACCCAGAGATAGATATTGAGGTTCCACTAAAATCAGGAACAAGACAAGGCTGTTGTGGGGTGTATGTGCACTGTGTGAAGATGCATTGCTGTGATTGGCTGTGGGGGTGTACACTGTGTGAAGATGCATTGCTGTGGTTGGTCTAATAAAAAGCTGAATGTCCAATAGTTAGGCAGGAGGTGTAAGCAGGACTTCGGGACAAAGAGAACTCTGGGAAGAAAAAAGGCATAGTCACCAACGAGACACATGGAGGAAGCAGGATGGGTGGAACAGAGATGAGGTAAAGAACCACGAGGCAGAACTTAGATTAAATAATATGGGTTAATTAAGTTATAAGAACTAGTTAGGAATAAGCCTAAGCTAAGGCCATGCTTTCATAAGTAATAATAAGTCTCCATGGCATTATTTGTGAGCTGGTGGCCCAAAGAAAAATCCAATTACAAATATCCTTTATATGCAGCTATACCACAAACGAGGGGGGAAAAGGAAAGTAATCGTATCAACAGAACGTTGTGCTGGCTAGTTTTATATCACTTCAACAAAACTAGAATCATTTTGGAAGAGGGAACCTCAGTTGAGAAAATGCCCCTGCTATATTTGGCTTGTGGGCAAGCCTGTGGTGCATTTTCTTGCGTAGTGATTGGTGTAGGACCCAGTTCGCTGTGGGCAGTGCCATCCCTAGGCAGCTGGTCCCGTGTGCTATAAGAAAGTCAGTAGGAGCAAGCCAGGAAGCAGCACCCCTCCATAGCTTCCAGGTTCCTGCCCTGCTTGAGCTTCTACCCTGACTTTCTTCAATGATGGGGCCGACAATGTAAGTAAAACAGCAAGTGATTGGGTTCTCATCCATTAGAGCAGAAGCTGACTAAATAATCTCCAACTTTAACCATCAGGAAACAGGACGACCGTGAGGAATGGGGAATCACAAGCAACAAAACCTGAAAGCAGGTGAGTGGCATTCGCTCTGGGCACCGCGTGCTAACATGGAAGGGGGAAGTCTCCAACCCTAGGTGAAGAACTCAGAGAGCAGGAGAAACTCTCAGGGAAGAGCCCCTCAACTGGTTATCCAATGCCAGCGGTCACCCCGAAATCATAGACATACAAGCAGCATTATATTATATATAATATAATAATATATAAATATTTATATGTTTAGGAATACATGTGTTACAGCAATTAAATAAGAAAGAGTTCAGAGGCTATGGAATGAGAGAGAGAGAGAGAGAGAGAGAGAGAGAGAGAGAGAGAGAGAGAGAGAGAGAGAGAGAGAGAGGAAAGTCCACAGGAGGGTGTACAGAGGAAAGGGGAAGGGAAAATGATGCAGTCATATTTTAATTTAAAAAAACAAAAATTTAAGGTCATAATTTCTTTTTTATGTGTATGGGTGTTTTGCCTGTACACCAAGCGACGTTCATCATTCCGGGCCTGGGTTACCTCACTCAATGTATTTTCTAATTCCATCCATTTACCTAAAGAGGCCAGAAGAGGGCGCCTGATTTCCTGGAACTAGACGGTGGTGAGATGTGTCCCTGGGTACTGCAAATTGAATCCTGCTCCCCTGGAAGAGCAGCCAGCACTTTTAGCCACTGAACCATCTCTACAATCCCCCCCCCCCAAAAAAATTAAGAAAAATTTAAACAATAATTCTGAAGATACTTTCTTTAACAACAAAAAGACCATGTGGTCTTCTGCTCACACAAGGCCACCCAGGATTGAGCTTCCCAGGTTCCGCTGTCCAGGCACTCAAAAGTCACTGGAGCAATGCTCCAAGGAGGCCCAGCTACTGCTTGAGCTGGTGACAGAACTTGACATCATCTACATTTTACAGACATGCGGAATGAAGGAGATACCGAGTCGTGGAGGCGTCCACTGGGATGTTTAAGAAAAGCCCACAAAACCAGATAATGTGTGGCAGGGTCAGAGTCCCTGAAGGGAACCCTGCAGAAAGATATCTTCAGGACTGGACAGACAGCTCAGCAGTTAAGAGCGTTTGCTGCTCTTGCAGAGAGCCTAGATTCCATGCTCAGCACCCACATGGTGCCCCACAGCCACCCCTAACTCCAGATCTGGGGGTTCTGCAGCCCTCTTCTCACTTCCATTGACACCAGGCACATACATGGAACACACACATGCATGCAGGCAAAACATTCACACACATGAAATTAAATACATTGCTTTTAAATTGTTACTCTCCTGGTTTCTCAAGCTACTCCAGGTTGCATGCTCACATCTGAAGATTTGGGTGGAGCTAGAACCCTCAGATAAGAGAGTACATGTAGCATCTGTCTTTCTGGGTCCGAGTTACCTCACCCCAAAAAAAATCTTTGCTAATTGCATCTAAATCCATCTAATTACTCCATGAAAATGTTATGGTTTTGTGCCTTTTTTACAGTTAAGTAGTATTCCTTAGTGAAGCCGTACCTCATTTTCATTATCCGTTGGTCAGTTGAAGGACATGTAGGCTGTTCCCACTTCCTAGCAACGGTGGGCAATGAGCGTGGCTGAACAGAACCCGTGGAGTGTGGTCACAGAATCAGGCCCTGGTGCAGAGGTGGCTCAGAGGGTGGGTTGATCTTTAGCTTTGTGAAGATTCTCCACACTGATTTCCAGAGTGGCTGGGCCAGTTTGCAATCCAAGTGGCGAATAAGCGTTCCCCTTCCCCACACCCCCTCCATCATTTGCCGCCAGTTGTTTTAACAGTCTTTGCCATTCTTACTGGGGTAAGATGAAATCTCGAAGTTGTTTTGATGCGCATTCCCCTAGTTGAACATGTTTTAGGTGTTTCTTGGCCCATTTTGATTTCTTCAATAACTTCAGAAATTGGGAAAGTAAAACGGGACCATTGCGGGAGGTGAGGGCGGCAACAGAGAGGGGACGAGCAGGTTACAGGTGATATGAAGGGGGAAATGGACAAAACAGGAGGGTTTTACTTAGGGAGGAAGGATACAAACACAGAAGAAGGAGGGAGGAGTGGACGGACAACCTGTGGCTACCATCTGGGGTTTATTGGATCTTATGGCTTCTGAGTTGCAGTACCAGGCTATTGCCACTAGAGGACACTGTCCTCTTTCCCATGTCTACAGTTCTGAAAAACTGGTTCCTTCCTGTCTTATTCTAGGTGCCAGTAAGGAAGAGGCACAAGGCTCATTCCGCTTTTTCAGAAGGAGGGAATCCTGCTTTGTAAGCCACCAGCAGGGAGCTGGCAGACTCAGGATCTAACTTGCAGGACCTGCCTCCCTAGCTTCTCCTCCCCGTGTGACCTGTTGCCTGCCCACCGAACCCAGAGCATCGCCAGACCCTCCCGAGGCCCGTGAAGTGGCATGCTGACTCCCCAGTACCATCTTCGGGGTTCCTCCAGCTTCTGCTTTCAGGGTCCTGTTTTCTTGTAAAGCTCAAGCCCAGGCCCCGGAGAGGGTGACCAGCCCTGACAGCCTCCTGATGGCCGTTCTGGGATTCCTTTCCCCGATCTGTGGCCCAGCCAAGGCTTCAGTCGGAAACCCTGCTTTACAGGGAAACAAGGTTACAAAGACCTCGCAAGCCCCAAGTCTCTCTGAGCTTTGTCCTTGCTGCCTGGCCCCTCTCTCCCATCCACAGACTTCTGAGTCATAGGATTTAATGCCTTCTCAACTCCCAACCTTCAGCATGTTCTGCCTCCGTTCGATCTATGATGTTGCAGATATGCCTAAAGTGTTTGGATATATTCCGATCTGAACTCAAATCCTGTTGTGGGAGGTCCTTCCGCCCCTCCAACCAATAGCTGCTGAGATACCAGCCCATTGGGGCGTGGTTTCTCTCCCTTTAAAAAAAAAAAAACGGCTACTTACCCCGGCTCGCTCTCTTCACTTCCTGCTCCACCGACAACTAGATTCCCTTTCTGGTTGCGCAGAGAGCTGTTGTCTGGGACGGTGATCTGTAAGTTTTTTCCTCTTTAAATAAATACCACTCTATTAATCATAATTCCAAACTGGTGTGGCATTGTTCGTGACTTACGCCTTCAAAATCCCTCTGCAGTCCTTTAACAGAACTGTCATTTATCTGTAGGCCTTTTTTGTGAACCAGGAGTAGAATGGCCAATTTAGGGAGGTCATAGATATATAGATATAGATATACATATATGTATGTTATGAGATCCTATGCATGTCAGGTAGAGCCTGACACATTGTATGAACTCAATAAAAAGCCCATTTCCCTGCATGGCACATACAAACCCAGGCAAGCCATTTACCTCACATCTCAGAGCTTGGTTCACTCATTATGACTAACCCATTTTACAGACCTGAACAGTGAGCCACCTGGGAGTGTCTAAGTGAGGACAGAGCTGAGCCTGGGGACAGAACAGGCACAGGAGGGTGTCACTGCAGGGTGAAGCAGAGTGATGGCCACTTGGATCTGTGCTTGTGTTTACGGCCACTACCTGTGAGAGAGAACCCTGCCGCGCTGCGGTTTGGCTTTTGTAAATTGCTATTTTTCCGTCAGATTCTGCCTCACTTTTGTAGGGATTTGGACAGTTGCGGGGGCAAGAGAGCAAGAGGAGTGGAAGATCATTGCCGCTTCTTCCTTGAAGTGCGAGAGTAAAGCAGCCTAAAGACCCCTCTACTCCGGACTCCACCAGGGTGCCCAAGGAGGAGGCGGGAGGGGAGGAGGAGTAGAGCCTGGGAGTGGCGAATTATGTGAAACCCAACACTGCACGGTTTGCCATGGAAGAGTTGCTGTCTGCCCTGCCAGCTTGAAATAGAGGCGCAATACTAGGCTTACTGTGGGAGGATGGACAGACAGACCTGTGGGTCCAGGAAGTGATGGGTCAGAAGGGAGCACCAGGGATGCCAACCAACCCAGAGAATGGCGGTAAAGAGGACATATGTGTCCTAGTCACCGACTGCCTACCCAGGGCTCCTCCCACTGAGCACATTCGGGGCTCCTCACTGGCTCCTACCACCCAGCTGGACTTCAGTCCTGCCCCACACAGGTTGACCATCTAGGCTGAATGAGCTCTGGTGCGACTGGGAGTAGGAAGTGAGACCACTGGGTCCTTGCGGCTCCCATGAGCTTTTAATGAACAACCTACATCTAAGTACCCAATTACTTTCAGCCTCCAGCATGTAATTAATGATAGCGGGGAGGGGCGGGGGTAGGGGCGGTGATGGCTGGCTCAGCATCGGCCCACTTCCTCTTGGAAGAGCCACAATTTCCTAGCTGGCCACTGGAGGGCGCCAGAAGGTCATGAAAATGCTGTAAAATGTTAGCGTTGTGACCTTAAAGCGCCGGAGGCGAGAAGGACCTCAGACTCCGAACCCTGCCTGAACACTCCAGAGTCCTCTTGTGGTTCTCCACACCCTAAAAGCCACCCCTTCCCATCCCTGAAGATTCCTGGAGAGGGATGGCCCTGTGGTCTCCACCCTCCACTCTCCGCCACTGTAGCAAAGAGCAGGTCGTGTTCCAATGCAGACGGAGGAAGGTTGCCTGGAGACCCAGGAAAAGTAACATTGGGAAACATGGATTCCGATTCAGAGAGCAACGTAGGAGACGCAGACAGGAAGTGAAAGATAGAGGTGCTGGCGTGGGAAGGCAGGGGGAAGCAGAAATGGGAGCGGGAACGTGCCAGCCCTTCCTACCAGGATTCTGGACTAGGGGAGGCAGGGAGGAACCAGAGAAGAGGAAGGACAGTCTGGCGGCAGTGTCACCATCAAGCACACACAAAGCCCGAGGCCACCTGGAATACGCCGTCCTCAGTCCCACCCACGGTGGCAAGGCTGTACCTGCTTACTTCCCTTATCTCTGTAGCAACAGAGCTTAGCTGTTTCTCGCTTTGGGGCTGGCTCTGGGGAGCACAGCCTGCCCTTCCTGGCCCCTGCTGATGCCACAGCAACAAGAAAAGATCCAGGCCAAGGACAGCCCCCCAGAGTGGATCTCCAAGGCAAAACCTCTCACCCCCACCACTACCCTCCTTCCCACTGATGCTCCAGCTGATCAACTGGACGCAAAGGGACATGCTGTTCAAAAACACTCTGATAAGCGATGGAACTCTGCCCCCTCCACACACACACACACCTCAGCCGGTCCCCAGGTTCTGTGAGCAAGATGAGCAACTCCACCCACTGCTCCTCCACCCCATCGTCACTCTGTCTCCAAAGAGGACTTAGATGGCGTCTGTGAGGCCAAGATTCAAGGACCTCCCCACAGAGTGCATTCAGTTCCACCACAGGTAGGGCCTGGGGCATTGTCTTCTATAGAGAAACTCCTCAGATTCCCCTTCCCCACCCACTCTATTCCTAACCCCTCCTCCCTAAGGCCTCTGCTCCCTTCCCAGAACCCTCTTGACCCTCCTTACACTCCACGTTCCCCAATTTCTGGCTTTTACCCGCCCCTCTTCAATGCCTGGATAGTAGGGCACACTAACCCACAAATACACAGCCCTGCTTTCTTTCCGTTCTTTTCTTCCTTCATCCTTCTTTCCTTCCCTCCCTTTTTCCTTTTTGGTGTTTTGGGACAAGGTCCCATTATGTACCCTCGGGCTGGCCTGTAACTCACAGCAATCCTCCTGCTTCAGTATCCTGTGTGCTAGTATCATAAGTGTGAACCACCACAAATGGATTGCCCAACCATGTTTTTGTCATTCAGTTTCTTTTCCACAAAAACTAGCTCTCCCCACTGAGTCAGTAAGAACCTGGTCACCCTGGGGCATAAATGGAGCCACAGCTTTTGAGACAGGCACACCTAGTCCTCTGGTTTCTAATCCCCAGATGTCATTTGTGAGGTGTGGGCCTGTGAGTTAGGCCACTCGGCAGCTCTTAGATCACCCCTGGAACACTGGAGCATGGCTGGTGTTCGTGTCCTTCACGGGTTTGGTGGCCTGTGTGGCAATGGTGGCCCTGATGCCGACCCAGGACTCTTCCCCTGTAGCTCTAACTTCAGTCTGATAATTGTCCTTGAACCTCAGTGCTCCGCCCAGAGGGAGTCACCAGGCTATCCCTGAGCAGGGGCACAGCCTCCGGGGCCTCCAAGTTAGGTCTTTCCACAAACAAGGCCACCTCCAAGTGGGGTCAGTCTCTCCTCCAGACTGGACCCTCATTTGTAGTCACAGTGCTGCCCCCCCCCCAATGGTCTCCCAGCCTGGAACCTCAGCAATGGTGCCACTCACCCTCTACTCCGGGGTGACCAATATGCATGTATCCGTATTCCTGGATTCTCCTCCCACCCCCTGTCCCTTTTTGTTTTTTCAAGACAGGGTTTCTCTGTAGCCCTGGCTGTCATGGAACTCATTCTGTAGACTAGGCTGGCCCCAGAGAAACACCTGCCCCTGCCTCCTAAGTACTGGGATTAAAGGGGTGCCACCACCACCTGGCACCACACCCTGTCTCTAAAAAAAGGGGGGGGGGTTAAAAGGGTTAGAAATATAACTCAGTAATAGAGGGCTTGCCTGTCATGCTCAAGGCCTCTCTAGCAGTAACACAGGAAAACAACAACAAAAAAAAAACCCACTAAAATAACACAATCATTTTAAGATGTCGTTGGCCCTGTATCTTAGGTACCTCACCCTCTCGACCATACCCACTGCTCTTACTGTAAATGCTCACTCTTGACACGTCACCCAAGCCTCCTCCTCCCCCCCAAAGCCCTTGCCTGCACTAATCTTGAAGGTGTTTGTGGGGAGCCGAAGAAACCCTAAGTGAATGTGTAAAGAGCAGATAAAGTCCTGAGTGAGCGTGCGTGGTTGACGATGCATGGCGATGTTGGGGACCAGCGTCTTAAACCCATGGACAGCTGGCAAAGCCTCCCTCTGGCCCACTCATGAGGGTTCACACACAGCTGAGCAGTCTGTGCAAAGGACCAGCACGTGCAGCTTCCTTCTAAAATCTCCAGTCAGAGACTGCTCGCCCACAGGGACCGCCTCCCAAGACTAGCTAACATGTTTCCGTGTGCTGTGCACAATGAATGCGCTGAGGGTCCCAGTTGTCATGGTGGTTGGTGGCCTCCATCGCGGCCAGCACAGCCTGCCCGGCCCCAACTTCTCTGTACATGGGCCTGTCCTCTCTTTAGCTTTCCAGACTCATGCGGTGCAGCCATGGTAGACATCCATTCCCTGTACTCCCTGTGGAAGGAGTATAGGAGATAGGGTATCCCATCTGCCAGGCTGCACCAGGGCTTCAGAATCACACCTCGGTCTGTGTGCTCAGGGGCTTAGAGTCTAAGGAGGAGAAAGAAAAAAGGTCAATTAACAAAATAACAAGCATAGATAACAGTTAGAGTTTTTTAATTACTACTCTTAAACACGTAAGGTACGTGTGTATGCTGCACGAACATGTGTGTCCCAGCATGTTTGCCCCTGAGCACATGGAGAAGCCAGGATGTCAGATGGTGCTCTCTCCCTATTCCTTTAACACAGTCTTTCACTGAACAAAAAACCCACTACTATGACTAGGCTGACTGGTTGGTAAGCTCCCAGGATCCTCCTGTCTCCACCCCTTGATGCTGGGGTTATATGCACACGCGGACTGGCTCAACTTTTTAGGTAGGGCTTGGAATTTGAACTCAGGTCCTCGTGCTTACTCAGCAAGGGTTCTTACGCACTGAGCTGTCTCCTCAAGCCTGAGTTACAGTTTCAGAGAAGCGCGATGGTACGCAGGCAGCCATGCAGCTGAGAGTTTGACATCTTGATCCACAGGTAGCAGAAGGAGCGTAAGAGCCACACTGGA